GACACTGTCAGTTGCCCAAATATCACCCATTCTCTGCCCTTTTCTATCTGTCTGATTTCTCTTTATAGTATTAGGAAGGCTAAATTATATCCCAGGGTCTCTTGCAGTGGGGAATGGCCATATGAATTCTGACCAAAAAGATATAGGCAAAAATACTGCCGAGGGAACTTCAGAGAAAGCTCTTGCTTTACCGATAAAAGGGACGGTGTCAGTAATGTACTGTAGTTCCTTCCTCTTTTCTCATTTCTTGAATGTGGATGTACTTTCTTCAGCTGGGGAACCCATCTTATGACCATGAGGGTATCGCAAGGGAATTGCAGAGGCGGTAGCCCTGAAGTTGTTAATGTGCTGTATTAAGGTGAACAGTGCCTACATCCAGACTTCTTGTTATGTAAAAAAATAAACCTCCATTCAAACCACTACAACCTGACTTTCCTTGGGGCCGAACTGTCACCTGTTTTATGGGATGTATATTTTTATTTGTATTTAAAAATACATGTGTATAACTTAAAACTTAAATTTAAAGCTATTGCTTGTGTTGAGGGTCACGATATTTCTAAGTAAATGTGATACTGCTACTTCTTGATTTTTTGATTTACAAGTATCTATTGATTTTGCTAAAAAGGAAAAAAATTCATTCTTTTGCACCTTCCTATCACATCCCTTCTCCTATTATATTAATATTCTTCTAAATAATTATTTTGGGTCAAATCTGTATTTATTGCTTATTTATTTTATGTTCAGATTATTTATAGCTAAGGCAAATGTACAATGATCATATTTTCTCATATAAATATTTGTTTTTCTCAAAATTAATTTCCTTGGGTTATTTTTACTTAATTTTTTTGGCCTTTTTGAGACAAGGTTTTATGCAGTTCAGGCTGGCCTCGAACTCACAACGATCTTCCTGCCTCAGCCTCCTGAGTGCTGGGATTATAGGTGTTCACCAACACATCTGTCCACTTAATTTTAAATTTTAAATTTAAATCTCCTCTGAGAACCTTAAAAATATAGGTAATGTAGTACATCCATTTTTGTGGGTTTTTCTGGAGACATCTTTTATTTTGTTTTGAACTGGCCACTCAGAAGGACTGATAGACAACCTATATCCTGGACTTTTCCTTCAATACCATTCTCAGAATTTCTTCTGTTTCTCTTTTCTATTGGATCCTTTATTTCTTAGAGCCCATACTTTTCTGTTTGTTGGTTTGTTTCCCTCACTTTTGTGGAGCAGCTTTCAGCAGCTTCTTGAGAATGCACAGGAAATAACTTCTTAAAATCTTGATTATAGTTTAGGTGTAGAGATTATGTGCTGTCGGATTTTTTTAAAGATATTTTTCCATTGTCTTTTAGCATCCATTGTTTCTGTTGAGTAGTCCTATAACATTCTGGTTCCTAATCCTCTATATTTGGATTGTCCTTTTCTTTTTGGAATCTTTTTCATTTGTGTTTTCCACAGTGATGTGAAACCTCGGTGTGGATCTTTTCTCCTTCGTTATGGTAGGCTCCATGTGGGCCCTTTCAGTCTTTAAACTCATGTCCTTCAGTTCTTTCTATGGAACTCCACAGTCCGAGCTGCTCCAGAAATCTGAAAGCCCACCAAAATATCAACTAGTCAGCCTTTTGATTTACTCTTAGAAACAGAATAAACTTTTGGCATGTTTCCCAGTTGTCTGAGTCAAATAGTCTTATGCAGGCTGTAAATTAATCTGTATCCAACCCTGGTCCCAGATTCTGACTGTAGAAGTTCCAATAACACTAAGCCTTCAGCCCTTCTGGGGTGTTAGTTTGAGTGGGAAAACTGCTTTTATAGCCATTCTGTCTAATATGTATATATATATATTATATGTCACCCAGGGTGACAGTAGTACTTTTGTCTTTAACATGTGGCCTGTGAGAAGAGGTTACCATAGGAGTCAACACCAGTCCAACTAGCCAGAAGGGGAAAAGAATATGGAGGGGTATGCTGAGGAGTTTTATGAGCCAGTCCTGGAAATGGTACCTGCCACTTCTCAGATCCTATCCCCTAGGAACTCAGCCACATGGTCATGCCTAACTGCAAAAAAGAAAATATAATCTAGGTATCTGCTCAGTAGGAAGACAAGGACTTTAACGGGCAGCTGACAGTCTCTGTCACTTCAGCAATCTGTGAAGTAAAATGATGTGAAGCACTAAGCTTTCTCTAGAATAAGTCAGTTACTGCTTTTCTTTCTGTTGTTCAGATTCCAGAATGTTGTCAACATCTAATATATTTTTTTCTTGTTTCTTTAACTGTTATTTTTGTTTTTATGGGCTTGGGCTTTTCTTATTCCTTTACTATCATTTTGGTGAAATTTTGGTGGGAGCAAAGGTAAATGTGCAGTATATTGTCACTTATAACTTGTGCGCATAATGAAATGGGCAGAGAAAAACATTTCTGAGGTTCATGTGGGCTTTTTGGTTGTGAATTTTCTTTTTTTTTTTTTTTGGTACCGGGAATTGAACTCGGGACCTTGAGCTTGCCAGGCAGGCGCTTGTGCCCCTGAGCTATATCCCCGATACTTGGCTGTGAATTTTCTGTCCCTGAATACTTTCTGGAAATATGAAAGTTAAGAGAGTGAATGAAAACAATTATAAGTATGGACATAGAAAAAATGCCTTTCATATATTAAATAAAAATAGAATATTTAGAAGTATGATTGTATGATCTGACATTTGAATATATTTATAAAGTTGTTCTTTGGAAGGATATACTTCTAAATTTAATGCTCATTATTTGTAAGGATTGGGACTGAGAAGGGGAATTTTCATGTTCAGTGTTATATACTCCAGTGACATTTGAATAGTTTACATTTAGCGTGTGTTTGTGCTAAACGCATATTAATTCTGGTCACCAAAGAAAGGCGCACATAAAGAAAAGTCAATCCAGGCCAATGTACTAAAGAATTTAAGTAAAACTAAGGCTGAAGAATGTCTCCTGAATTTGGGAATTGGGACAGTATTATTGGTATTGTGGGATCAGAAGTGATCTCAGTGAAAAATGCAAAATATCAGGAATTGGACATAGTTTATGGTTTGTTTGTTTTTTAAAAGAGACTATTTCAGTGATTAGAGGAGCATGGGAATTGAGGAGGCAGGATCTGAAGTCTTGTGGGTGAATTTTCTCCCCAATAGCTGGGGGAGGAAAGATCCAGGAGAAAGGGAGAAATACAGAAGGAGGATTACTTCAAGGAGAATTTTAGAACTTTCCTCATTAGTCCATTGATGATTAACTCCTTTGAAAGGTTAAGAATAACTAGGTAGGGGCTGGGGATTTAGCTCAGCGGCAAAAGCACCTGCCTGGCAAGTGCAAGGTCGTGAGTTCGGTTCCCGGTACCGGAGAAAAACCAAAAAAAAAAAAAAAAAAAGAATAACTAGGTAAATTTTTGTTCACCAAGACCAATGTCGTGGAGCCGCAAGCTTCAGGTCAGAGGCTGTGGATTAGATTGCCTTCAAAGCCACTTCCAATCTTTGCTTCTACGCATCCAGTTTATCTGAGTTGATCTTGCTAAGCATGAACTCGACAGAAACAAATATCCTGTTTCAAAATCTTCCATATGGCTTGATCCGGGAACACAGGCTTATTAGTAAGAGAGATTAGAAAGGAAAAAAATTTTTTTCTTTTGAGGAGCAAAGCATTCTCACAGTACTGCATCCCAAAATCTGACTGAGTTAGCACTTCCTATAATCCCTCATCAAGCTAAGTTCTCATTTTCTTTATAAGTGTCTCTCCCTCCCCTTTCCCAAAGAATTTAATTTAGAACTCTTTTTTGGCCAGGAATCAGTATTCTGGGAATCTGTTTCTTCAACTCATCAGTGTTAAAATGAGTCATAGCTCTGATTCTACCCTTCTTTAGAAATCTGTAACAGATAATGAAGACCACCAGTGCTGCCACTTTCCCCAGAAACATTCTAAGCCCTGGGCTTCTAAGAGGGACTCCCTTCCTCCTAGAATCAGAGAAGGAATATAGTAAACTTGAGGTTAACCTCTATCTTTGGGGGATTTTAAATGTTATTGTAAAGTTGGCATAGGATGGTTGTATATAGAAATTTCTCAGGTGAAATGACTAAGGTATCAAAAGATACCTTAACCTTCAGGAGACTACTTTGAGTAGGAATAGTGGAGCATGAATATATGCATATTCATGAATATGTGCATATTCATATTCGTGAATATGTGCATAAGAAACTCTCCTAAGTTCCATCAAAGAGCAGACTTGAACTCACACTCCTTTTTCTGCTTCATAATATTAAGTATCCTGGCTATATAATCTCCTGATTCTTGTGGAGTGTCTGTCCCTGTATCCTCCAATTTTGGCCCCCTAAAAGGTACAGCAAGAGAGTGTCAGTGAAGATGATTCCTGTGGCTTCTGCCAAGTTACAAAGTGCGTTTGTTGAGAGGCTTGCTCAGCAGGTAGGAATCTTCCCACCCCATCCACACTGTGGGTGGTTGAGCTCACAGAAGAGCTGAGCCACCAGGACATCTACAGACTAGGTGTAAAAGACGAGACTGTAAAGGACTGAGGCTTGTCATAAAAGTAAGCAGAGCTTCTGACTACTGGTACTAGGTACGTTTCTGTAACTTCTGGGAAGGAACTGCCCTTTCTACAGATTTACAGTCATCGGGAAAGATGCAGATACTACTTACTTCAGACTAAGCCCACTTTTCCTCTGAAATTCCCTTATAAGGAGAGGGAAGGCAGTAGGCAACATCACCAGGATCTGCTAGTTCTAGTTCTGCCGAGCTAACCCTATCCACATTTCCCCAATGTTGTACCTTGCTCTTTCATTCATTCATGATGGCCAATTGCAAATTGGTTTGTAGAACCTGGCAGATAATACCAACGAAAGAAGAATAAACAAGAAAAGGTAGTGTTCAATTACATGAGGCTCCTTCATTATTTCTGTGGTACTTAGAGGGCCGTGGGAGAAGAGGGGCGTGGCCTGTCACTAAGAAACCTTTCTGTTTTCTGTTCCTCAAGCAACCTCATAACATCCTGCAGAGGCGCCTCATGGAAACCAACCTGTCCAAGCTGCGAAGCAGTCGTGTTCCTTGGGCCTCCAAGACCAACAAACTCAATCAGGCCAAGTCTGAAGGACTAAAGAAGTCTGAGGATGATGACATGATTCTGGTTTCTTGCCAGGTAATGTTCAGAGAATAGCTTTTCCAGGGTTTTCTGGAAAGTAGATTTTGGGCCCCTTTATGATTTGAATAATAGGCTCTCTCCTCCAAACTGTATAGCTTGTGAGTCTAAAGGAATTCATAAATGAGTTTTAAAGGGGGCACTTCATGCAACCCTAGAAGTGTGTACAGTATTTGTATGCATGTTCATCTTTATGGGAAAAAGGACCAAGGCTTTTCTCAGATTTATAAAGGGGAATGTGATTTTTTAAAAAAGATGAAGAGCTGCTTGATATATAGAATGAAGCAGCTAAAGTCCTTTGGGATATTTTGTTAGCCTTGTATTCTGCAGTAAAAAGAGCCAGTCAGTGGCAGATTTAGCAGTGGACACTACCAACCCATAATGAGAGGATACTCTCCAGCCCTTTTTGACATCTGCTTGCTTTCTGCATCTCGCTTCCGTTTTACTTTTCTGCTTCCCGCTGAACAGTATGCTTCATCCCCACAGTGTGCTGGAAAGGATGTGAAAGCCTTGGTTGACACAGGCTGTCAATACAATCTCATATCCTCGGCCTGTGTGGACAGATTGGGGTAAGTTGCCACTTGTGCTGTGTGGAAGTCAGGTGTGAGTGCACTCTTTGCTTGAATCTCTTTTGGAGCTAAAGATGGTGAGGGTCTCCACAGAAGCAAAAGGAGAAATATGCAACGCTCAGATCTAAGCTGGAATCAGAGTCATTAGCAGACAAAAGAGTGGTGGGCTGTCAGGCAGCTGGGAGAAATCAGTAAGCTGCAAAGCGCTGGGCTTTCTCTTAACTCCTCGTAGGTTTTGAGTAGAGATCTCTGGACTCTGGAATGAAAGAGTGTGAGACTCCTGGTCCCATGTGTGCCCTGTCCTAGCCCACTAGACAGCAAATTAGAATGAACTGCTCATTGCTTTGCCCCAAGTGAGTGAAAGTAGATATGGTTGGCCTTAGTTTTCTCAGGTTACTTCTGGAGGATACACTGCCTGTCCCCAAGAAGCATTAGTCAGAACTGAGAAAAGGCAGCTCTTGCTGTTCTCAGCAGGCAGTTAACTGGGGGTGTTTTAGTGCCTTTCCTCTATGAAGAGCAGGTAACTCAGATCTTCCTGCTGCCTGTGCTGGGGGTGGAGTGTGAGGCAGACATCTGGGATAGTGAGTGTCTTTAGTTCTTTGGCAGCTAGAGTTGGGTTTTCCCTCTTTTAATTGGGAAGCCATTCTGTATCTTATCCCCTTTTCATTCTGCCTCTCCTTTTATTTTTTTCTGTCTTTCTATTCTTTCTTGCAAAGAATCAGATGGGCTCTGAGGTCTAGCCAGGGATCAATATGATCAAGCCATATTATTTTTCATTATTTCCAGTTGCTAGTACAATAAATCACTCCCCTGGCCCAAGTCTCTGTAGTGCAATAATCACCAAGACAGACATAATGGCCATTCTGAGGTACAGTTGAGATATCCATATTCTTATAGGGCTTACACAGTGCTTCATTTATGTATAATCAGTGTCCGTGCCACATGATGTATTCCTTCTCATGTCCTCCACCTGTACCCGTCACCACCCCTGTGACTCTTTGAAGTTGGTTCTAGGGTTTTGCGCATTGCTCTTTAGGGTAGGGGTGGGGGAGTCCAGGACTCAAGTGCTCTTGTGGGAAGAATCCTGAGCTCTTTTATGTGGTTAAGGGATGAGGTATGGCACAACATGATGGTTCCAGAAAGCCTAATAATGTCCTGTGCATAATTAGGCAGCAGACTGCCATGATTCCAGGGAATTAATCATCATCTGTAAAACTGCAATTATTTTCTTTTGGATGGGCTGCAATGCCAAAAGAGAGGAAATGGAAGAAAGAAGAAGTATTGGCACAGAAGGTCCATAATTAAGTATTTATCCACCAACCCATAATAGCCTGAGTGCTAACTATTGCACTCAGCTTATATAACTATGTGAAATCTGGTTGCTATTGCTTTCTTTTCTCCCCTGTACAGAAAAGTCAAATTAATAAAAGACTTTCTCCAGCATTTTCCTTGCTGATACCAATACAAGTGCAAATACATTCTTACCTCCACTATGCTGATGAGCACAGACTGAAATATAAAGGAGAAGGAGATAAGTACACATTGAAACAAAGCACTTCCTAAAATTAGAATTAACTGAACTGTCTCACACACAGGTGAGGATGCTAGGATGCAGGAGAGGACAGAACTCCCAATGTATCACCTCCCCTCCTTCATTAGTGCAGGTAGTGACAAACACTGTTTGAAAATACAAAATGAATGTTTAGGTTTTTTAACTATCCCCCTGGCATGTTTAGGACAGAGTACTGAAACACGTATAGGCAGCCTAGCTGTTTTTGGTGTATTAGTCCCAAGAAATCTCTAGAGAATTCCAGCTGTGGGTCAGAAGGCAGCATTGCCAGATGTATGAGAAACTTCTGCCAAGGTATCTTTCTCTGTGATGCAGACTCAAGGAGCATGTTAAATCTCACAAGCATGAAGGCGAAAAGCTTTCTCTGCCCCGGCATCTCAAAGTAGTGGGGCAGATTGAACATCTAGTGATCACCATGGGCTCCTTCCGCCTGGACTGCCCAGCAGCTGTGGTTGGTGAGTAAAATCAAAGACTGGACCTAAGAACTCTAATGTAAACCCTGAGGAGATCTCATGGCTGTACATAATGACTGCTTCAAAATACCAAATTCCCATTTTCCTGTGCTGTAGAAGTTGTCCCAATTTAGCTCTGCAAAGTATGAGATGGGCCCTCAGCTACATTCGAGACATACTGAGAATCAATCAGAAAATGGAATGTGGAAGTCTGATTTAAAAACTCATGGGACAAGAAAACAGGCACTTTTGTGTGCAGGTAAAAATGTCCCCTGAGAGTTTTCCATGAACTAGTTGGTAGCAGAGGACAGTGTATTCATATGCCTTTCATGATTCCCTTGATAATTTCTGACACATCTCCTACACTTCTTATATATTCTGTACTATGTTAGGTTCCTGGTTTTTGACTGAAACACATCTCTGCTTTTCAGTGAAAAAGCTGTTTGAATCTTGGTTCCATCACTTTTAACTATATGATGTGAGAAAATTATTTAATAACAAATGTCAACTGATTTTTATTGGCTGGGTGGGTTGCTGGGTGGTGGGTAGATGGATGGAATGAACTAATGGTGATCAGACTGACTTCTAACCCAGCAAGGAAATAGCTAAATCTTAACCTTGTTTTTATTAGAGGACAATGAGAAAAACTTGTCTCTTGGTCTCCAGACTCTCCGATCCCTGAAGGTAGGATTGGCTGCACTCTCCCTTTAATACTCCTTTTCTGACACAGAGATCCTCCCACGTGGGGAACCCATGATGGGGTCATTGACAGCGAACAGTAATTCTCCTTTGTTTTCAGTGTATCATAAACTTGGATAAGCACCGCCTGATCATGGGGAAGGCCGACAAAGAAGAGATCCCTTTTGTGGAGACCATTTCTTTGAATGAAGACAAGTGAGTGCCCCAATTGGCCAGGTGACATCAATCCACTTGACATGAGTTGGGGGGTGGTTCTCAGAGAGTATGTGGGTTTTATCCTGTCTTTGGCTTTCGGTCATACTGCCAATCTACCACTGCCCACCCTCAGAGTTCACCATTCCATCTCAGAATGAGCGGTAGTATAGCCACACAGAGTGGTGGGGAAAACAAGCAGCTTTCAAACCAATGTTTGACTTGCCTATAGCCTAAGTGCTTTGAATTTGGTCTCATTTCTTCGGATGTTTCTTTCTCATTGCAGCACTTCAGAAGCATAACTGCAGCCTGCAGGACGTCTGCATGTGTGCACACACCAGGTTAACAGATTGAGAAAACTGGGTTTGAACCAAATGCAGAAGCAACTTGCTGTGGACCAAGCCCATCCTTCCAATAGATGCTCCAGGGGATCCCCCCTCCTAGACCCGTCTAGGCTATAGTTTGTGCTTAGAGATCTTGTCTGGTTACAGCCATTGTTTTTTACTCCTTTGATCACTTAATTTAATAGACCCTTTTTGACACTGCCAGGTCTCACTTGTGGCCTACTTCTCTGCTTCTTTCAAGAGTTTGCTTTTATTAGTCAAGTACAGGGGCTGCCAGGTTCTATTCCTTCATAGATACACCTGCTTCTTTTCCTATATCTAATATATAATAAATAGGAACCTGATTTTTACCTCCTTTCAGCTGTTTCAAAGAGGTGTAGGTAATCTGTGTCTTGGAATTAGAATCTCTGATATTAGTTCATTGATTTCTCAGGTATGAAATGACCTGAAAGAGTCCAGTGAGGTCACCTAGTCCAAACACTACACAAAGGTCCAGAGAGGCAAGTGAATTGTATAAACTCATATATTAAGTCAGTGACAGGAAGGACCTAAAACTCAGACCTGCTTTCCGGCCAAGGCTCTGTCCTGCCTCATTTGTTTTCAAGCCTTAACAGGAGGGCAGAGGGATGAGAGTGTGTGAAAAGGGCAGAGTAGGGGAAGGGTGTGTTTTGCAGACAGATGCCAGGAGGATCTAGTAGCTTTCCTTCCTGTGTGCCAAGCACCCAACCCAAACTGTTACATTTGGGGCCTTCTTTTGGCACCAAAAGTGGAGGGTACAAAGATGAACTGAGGTAGTCTTCCACTGTGAAATTCTTGGAGAGGAGGAAGGAGAAGAGACCACAGACAGATGAATATTAATCTCTGACACGTCATTGATGCCTTTAGTAAATGTAGGCATCGTTGTGAGACATTGATTACCCCCAAGATCCAGCCAGTATTTCCACCCAGCCTATGATATATCTGTTGGAGACTCAGGTATCTGGAAATAGGGTCGAGAAAGGAAATGGAAAACCTAGAGCAGGGTTAGAATGGAAGGGAGAAGACTGTATAGAGTCAGTTGGTGGTGAGGCCTACCTGGGGAAAGCTTTCTGGGATGGAGGCAGGGAATGAAACATCCAGGCAGGGACCTGAGGCTTGGGAACCTCCTCAGCTTTGTAGTATTAAGAACAACCTTTTATAACTGCCCAGTATTGCCTGACCCTCTCAAAGGGTTGGGTAAGTCACGGGGAGTTTCTGAAGCATTTTTGTTGTTGTTTCTTTGGGTGTTAGTTTAAGCACACTAATACCTGTAATAGAATCTCCCCTTCAGTTCAGTTATAGAAGTGTTTGCACGAGTCAGAAAAATGCCAGCTATATTCCTTAAAGATACTCCCAGGTCTATACTTGGTTGATAGCAATAGTTTTCAGGGTATTTCCTGGATCTCACTTTCCACCTTGCCACGTACCACCAACTACCTTGTCTACTGTTCAGTTACTGCGCTTACCAAAAATTCCTTAAACCCTGAATTTGGCCTCACAGATGCTCCTAGACTAGGAACTTGGTGACCCGCATTTGAACAACCTGTCAGTCAGTTGTCACTGGGTCATCCCACAGGCTCCTTTCTTTTCAGCCTCAACAAAAGAAGCGAAATAAAAAACTAAACAAGGCCATCCATAATAGGGGAGGCTGCACTGAAGCTCAGCAGGGGTGACTGTGAGGCCACCAGCCTTCAGGCTGTCTCCAGCTACACCTCATTTGCTTACCCCAGAGGCCTTGCTCCTTTCTACCAAGGCCTCTACACTCCCCTGCCTGTCATGGGCACACTTTGGCCTGCTTCTTATCCTAGGATGGAGCTAAAATTCTTCACCCCTTCCTTCTCTATTTGAACGTTCTACCCCAAGCCTTGCCTCTTGGTCCCAAGTAGGACATATTGCAGGCTCCTTTTGGTTTATCCTTGTTTGATTCCCTGTGGATCAAGCGAGACCAGGAACTCCCAGGTTCTGGCAAGATGCACCTGAATCTGGGCCTTTTCATGCAGGATTTTATGGCATCATAGCGATGATCAGATGACCATTACGGAGCCTCCTGGTCTCTGAAAATCAGCTAGTGATTTTCGAGTTTGAGAGTAGAAACAGCTAAGATGAAGTGGGTTTAGGATATCATAATCTCAATACATTCAAATTACTTGGAATTCTCTAACCAAATTATTATGTTTTAAACCCTAGTTTTGATAAAGCACTTTAAAAATGTCTAAAGATAATTACAGGGAGTCTTGAGATTCATTAACCTTCTTCAAATGTTGCCAAATTGACTACTTTGATAGCCTTTGTCTCCCTGATGTTCTACTTTTTGGGGCTGGCAAGGCAGAAAAGTGAGGTCAGTTCTTCCCAGTCTTAGAAAATTCTCATGCCTCGGAAGGTGTGGGAGAAATAACGTGTATCCAGGTCACTATTTTCAGGAATGGTACCACCAAGAAGTACCACACCTATCTAATTCCTTATCAGATGCCCACCTTAAGTACTGGAAGTTTGAAAAATATTTTTATTGTTTGGTATTTCTACGCCTGATTCATTTGAGGAACGAATATTTTCTGACTTTTCTATTTCCTTGCCCTGCACTGATCCCACCTGGTATGATTTTCTATTTCTTAGCTCAGAGTGTCCATCATATAGATTATCTGGTACATCAGCTGCCCGCACTGTTGTGTAATAGAAATATCTTTCCAGGCTGGGGACATGAAGGAGATGAACTGATTCTTCCTCCCTTCTGTTGCCAGGCCTCTCTGCAATGGCACTTTTTCCACTCAGTGTTTCTGGCTGTGTTGGGTTATTTGTGAGACGATGTAACAATAAAGTGAAATCTCCCCTCTGTGTGCTTGTCTGACAGTGTCTGTGTCAGGGCCCAACCCGGAAGGTGGGGGAGCCCCGGCCCAGCCCAGTTGCATCTTGTTTCTGTCTTAGGGTCTTCTGAACACAAGGCTTTGTGGTTTTTAGTTCCTTCGTTGCTACTAGTCCTTTAGCTCCCTCTTAAGGCAAATTAGTGAACCTCACTAAGCTTGGGTTTGTAGTCTATAAAACAGAATACAAGCAATAGTACTCAACTCAGGGAAATAAACCATATAAAGTGACTAACATGGTTGTCACGCAAAGTTTTATGAGAACAGTCTCACAGTGGGTCAGTCACCAGGATGGGAGAGAGCATTTCTAGGAAAGGAAATATTTAATTCAAACAGGAAAGGTTTGGGGCGAAAAAGGGTTGAATTAACTTTATTATATAGTTAAACCCATATTCCAAATGGCATTCCAAGTAAATGCATTTTACAGATGATGAAAACTTACTTTTAAGTATTGATATTTTTAATACAGTACTTAAACTGTGGCTGAACAGTCAACCAGCAACATGCTTTACCTCTGAACAATAGTTAGCACAATCTAGAACTATGTTTGACTACTCAGAGGAGAGGATACTGCTACTCCACCTTAAAAGGCTTTCTGGTTTATTTCTGTCTGGCTTATTTTTTCAAATTATGAAAAATGTCAAGAGTTTACCTGACCTGACTCTTTAACAAAGAGTAACAGAATCTATATTCTTAATAGTTTCAGAAGAACCCCCCCCAAAAAATTAAATTCTAATTCACTATTTTCTCGGAGACCTTTTTATTCAGAGTATGGTATGGGCCGGGTGTGGGATGGGCTGAGGCTGCCAGATGCCTGACCGGAATGGAGACAAGGCTGGGTCTTTGCCTTTGGTAAGGTAGTGACTTATTCAAAGGCTCTAGCAACCTGACAGCTACAGGTCTTTGCAGCGTTTTTCTTCTCACATTTTTTCACGGACCTATGCCTCATTCAGCAAATCCCAGCCCCTATAACAATCAGATGGGATTTCAATCCTGGCATAGCTTTTACTGAAGCCAGAGTAGCCTCCAAATTTGTAATTAATACAGGAAACCTAACAGTCCAGAGAACCCAGATACTCTAGTGCTGACATATTCAAGTCCTGCCAGCGCCCTAAATAAGAGAAATAGGTTGAGAAGAGCAAGTTTGGTTGCTCTAGTAGAGATGTTTGTGTTTGTTAGGAGAGACTGAGGACAAAGGGAGTGGGACGACAGAGATTATTTGTATGACAATCTTGGATAAGAAATTAATTCTGCTTTCATCAATCTATTTTGTTATGAAATGCTGTGCTTCTTGGACACCTTGGATGACCTTGTACTTGGTAGGAGAGGGTGCTATAGTGATTCTCATCTTATTCTGGAATTGGATAACAACGTAAAAATTGATTGGTGCTGAGGCAGACTATATAATAAAGCAATGACCCTGTTCTGAAAGCTTATGGAAACCCCCATACATACACATATCTGAGCTCACGGTAGTTCCTCTATGGTACAAAGTAAAATTGGCAAATAGAAAATACTACAGGTTTCATTAAGACCAATTGGAACACAAGGGTGTATGAAAGGGACATGTTGGAAGGTCTGAGGGATAACAGGAGGATCCGTGACTCACGGAGAGTAGAGTTATAGAAATGGCAAGGTTCAATATTGGTGGGTGAGGTATAAAGAGTACAGAATGCTATTTCTCTAGGACATTCTCCTAGATCCGGGGCCAGCCAGCTTTTCCTGTAAAGGGCCAGCTATTTTTGGCTTTGTGGGTCAGTCTTCCACCTACTCAACCCTGCCATTACAGCATGAAAGTAGCCATGGGAAAAATTTTATATAAGTTTTAAATGTCACAATATAATGTCTTTAGATTTTTTTCTCCACTATTTAGAAGTATAAAAATTACCTTGCATACTGTACAAAAATAGAATTTGCAGGCCGGGCATGGTGATACATGCCTGTAATCCCAGCACTCAGGAGGCTGAGGCAAGAGGACTGCTGTGAGTTCGAGTCCAGTGTGGGCTACAAAGTGAGTTCAAGGCCAGCCTGAACTGCATAGTGCGACCCCGTCTCAAAAAGACATACATAAAAAAAATTAAAAATAAGATTTGATTTCAGGCTATTGATTACTGTTATGTCCTAAATTATTTCATACTTTTCTATTTTCTCTTCAAATTTCAACATTTCTTTCCCCATTCTTACTCTGAGATGATGACTTTGCTATTTCATTCATGAAGTAACCAGAACACCCACCACTGGAATTTAAGAAAAAGAGAGAAACTATGTGCTAAGTGAACTAACCCAGCCACAGAAAGACAAATACCTTATGATCTTACTTATATGTGGAATCCAAAACAAATTTGTAGAATCACAGAGTAGAATGGTGGCTACTAGAGGCAGGGGGCTAGAGAGAATAAGGGGATGTTGATTAGAATGTACAAAGTTTCAGTGGCTAGGAGGAATAATTTTTAAAATTTTATTGCAAATAAATTATAATTGTAGAGTAAGGTTCAAAGTGATGTTATAATCTATATATAAAATATGGGAATGATTCAATTAAGCTAATTAACATATCCATCATGTTAAATACAGATACCAAAAAATTCTTGTGATGAGGACTTGAAATTTATTCAACAACTTTGAAACATGCAATACAATATTATACAGTATTACAAGCTATAATCACTATACTGTGCATTATTATATCTTTTTCATTATTAGCCTAGTGATACTATTTGATTTTTTTACAGTGTAATATGTTGATAAAATAGAAACACATATGACTGAAGTGTTTATTTGGAAATATTAGTGATCAGAGAGGAGGAACTATTCTCTTCCCCCTAGAAACGTAATATTCTGGCCCCACACGGTGTTACGGAGGGCACTAGCAAATGATTACAAGGTACAGCACACTTGTGTGGCTTTATAGGCAGCAGAGGGCAGAAAACCTCACCAAATAGGGCTGAGTACAAGGGATCATCTTAGCAGATGCATGAGATGGAGGGAGGGCTCATTGAGGGCATTCCCAGGACATGCTTAGAAAGAGCCGCAGGCTTTGTGTGCGTCCTGCCATAACCACTGAACCACCGTTCAAGGAAATCACTGGTACGTGCATTTCTGCAGTTGTCTGGACTGGTGTGACCTGGCAAGTGGATAAAATAAAAAAGAAGGCCCACGTGGAAGTTTAATTAATTACTACAGAAGGCTATGGGTGAGGAGCTGTACACAGCTGGCAAAACCTTGGTCCCAGATACATTTGTCCTAGATACATATATTGTCACTTCTGCTTCCTAGTTTTCTGACATCCTCACTTATATTTAGAGGCTTCTTTTGCCTTCTGAACAATCCCCCACCACGCAAAGAGGTGAGCAGGCCCAGGGCAGACGGGAAGGTACACTTAGACCTGTGTCATTTGAGGAATGCAGTAGGGAAACCTAGTTACAGAGACGCAAGGAAAAGGGCAGGGGAGGGTGGACACTAAGGCCGGTCCTCCTTATAAACAGAACGACTCCCCAGTGATCAAGGTCTAAGAAGATCTTCAGTCAGAAATCTTTCCTGCCTGTGGTGCCCAGATCCAGATCCCACCATGTGTACTTCGGGCATCTCAGCATCACCTCTCATGATCAGCTCATAGTACTTTGGTGGACACTGCGAGTGTAAAGGGAGATATAAACACATAATTTTACCAAAATGTAGGTTAGGAAAGATTTACACAAACAGAAGAGAGTTCACTGTCGGGGAAAGCTTTCTGACTTACAAGACACCTAGAGCAATCAAGGTCTAAGGAGGACATAGTAAGATGAACTAATCTTTTGATTTCTGTTGACTTAACTGAAATTACTTTCATTTGTTGCAAGACACATTTCTCCCCAGCCCTCCTCTCTACCAGTGCCCGTTCCTCCCTGTCACCCTTGTTTTCACCTCAGCTTTAACCTTCATCCTCTAGTCAGGCACCTGTTACAGTCACACTCCAGCAGCAGCAGCCCCCACTGTGTGGTCTCTACAACAGTGCTAATACAAGTTTCTAATATAAGTAGAAAACTTTCTAGCAGCCACATTGAAGGAGTAAACCAAAAGTAAAAATGTAATAATTTATTTAACCCAATATATCCAAAATATTCAAACTTCAACTAATAAGGTATTTATACTTTTTTATGTTAAGCCTTTAAAATTTAGAGTACTGTGTATTTTACATTCACAGTATTGCTCAATTTACATTAGCCACATTTCAAGTCTGCATTTGCCACATGTAGCGGTAGGACAGTGCAGCTTTAAAGTCTGTCTTGGACAGAGCAGCTCTACAATTCTGCCCAGTGTGTATTTGGGGTTTCTCCATTAAACACATGGCGCCAGCTAGGTGTGTTGGGGCACAGCTGTAGCTCGAACTACTTGGGAGGCTGAAGGGGTAAGACCACTTGAGCCCACAAATTCAAGACCAGCCTAGGCAACATAGTAAAAGCTGGTCTCAAATAGATTAATTAAATGAACCCAGAGGCGGCCCATCTGACCTAAGGCACATCACTGTATATTTCCCTTACACCTATGTATACTCATTAAGGCCTTAAAAACAATGTTAGAGGTGGAAGAGAAAGTGTGTATGGTTTCAGCCAGTGTAAGCACTTCCTTTAGATGCCAGAACCAGATAATCCTAAAGCTAATCCCAAATTTGCTGCTGAATCACTGTTAGCAAAGAGATCCACAGTGCCTCACTCATAATATACCTGACCCTAGGGTGAGACACCCGGATTGTCCTCTGGCCAGCAGAATACCCACTACAAAGACCTGATGATTCATCAGTGAGACAGCGTCTTCACAGGAGCTTAAAACAGCATCTAGCCCTGTTCTGGCTCTGGTTGGGGCGGGTGGCACTTGCCACTTGGGACTGAAAAGGTCTAAATATATTTGGTGCGATAGCAAACACCTTCTTGTGTGAAGAGTGTAGTCCAGCAGCAAAAAGGATCACATGGGAGAAAAAATACTGAAAAACTTCTACCTGTTAATTAAAACACGTTCACAAACCAGGAAAGGACTTAAAATCTATTTAGAGACGGAGACAGGAATCATGGACATAGATTTCTGAGGCTGAGAAAAGTTCGGTCCCTTCATACTGAGCCAAGAACCAGAGACCCAGAGAAATGATTTGCCCAAGGTCATTCAGCAAATTGCTACAGGTTGTGATGCGCCCCGCATCTCTTCCACTATGTACTTCCACGCTTCCACTAACTGAAAATGGAGACATTATGCATCTCCAGGGTGCTCCTAAGGTACCTACGGAGGAAGACGCGCCCTGGGGAGTCGGGTCAGCGCTCTCCGAGCCGTCTTAGGAAGCAGCGGCCCGGAACAGGCACAGCCTCGCCGGGGCGTAGCGGCCCGATTCCCCACCTCCCGGAGTCCCGGGCGGAGGGTGCTGTTGCGGCCGCTCTGCAGCCAGCTCCACGTCCCCGGGAGCCCCGCCGGAGCAGCCCCAGACCCGCCGCTGTGGCCCTCTTCCCGGCGGCCGGCCGGACCGAGCGCTCAGCCCCAAGCGGAAGCCACACCCCCGCGGGGCTGTGGCAGAGCCAGCGGGGAGCTCCGTCGGCGAGGCGCCTGGGCCGAAGGTTAGCACTCCAAGCGCGGAGACGAACCCGACCGTGCGACCCGGGAGGGCTTCCCGGAAAGGAGTGATCGGCCAGTCCCCGCCGCGCCCCCACGCTGGGCGCCCGCCCTGGCTGCGCGGGCCGGAACGGGCCGCCCTCCCCGGACACTGGGCTCCGGCTCCGGCGCCGGCAGGACCGCTGCGGCCCCACGGGACATCCGGAGCTCGCTGACATCTCCCTGAAGCGGGGCACTCTGAGCGCAATGGCGGTTCTCCCAGGCCCCACTGCTTCTGCGCCCGGGGAAGGAACCCGAGCGCCTCCAAGCCTTGGTGCGCCTGGGCCGTCACGCTGGAGCGCCCCTGGCGCGTGCAGGGACCGAGTGAAGGACGCCGGGCGTGAGGCCAGCGCGGCGTCCGGGCCCTTCGTGCAGGGAAGCGTTTCCGGGGCGGATACTTTTCACAGCTGACCCGGCGCGGCCTGTGACGCGAGGGCCCGGACGGAAGTGCGGGCGGAGGATCCGAGCCGGATCCCGAGCTGGGAGCAGCTCTCTGGGCTCGCGGGCCCGGCTGGACTCCCGCGATGGCGTCCCTGTGCGGAGGCCTCCCCCGGCTGGGCTCCGTGCTCAGCTTGTCCTGCCTGGCGCTCTCCGCGCTGGTGCAGCTGACGGATGCCGCCAAGGTGAGTCCCGCCGCGCCTTCGCTTGTGACAGGAGCTCCTCCCCTGCCCCGGCCTTGCGGAAACGGGTCTGCCAAGTGCCGCCCGCCCGGGTCCTCCCGGCCCTGGCAGCCCCGACCCCCGCGGCGTCCTCCCCGCCTGTGGCACTCCCGCCCTCCGCCCTGACAGCCGGCAGTCACCGGCTGACAGCAGCCCCTCCGCTGCTCCTCACTTCCCTTCCCGCCTCCAGCGCCGCTCCACACTCCAACCTTCCCAGCGCTGAGCGCCTCTGACTTTCCAGCCCGAAGCCCCGCCCGCCACCCCCCGCACGGGTCCCCCAGGTCTCCAGACCACGGCGGACGCCCTCATCTGCGGCGTCTTTCCTGTTGGGGGCGCCCCCCAGCACATTCCCCCGCGCTGTGGGGACTTCCTCCCGGCAGCCTCCCGCTCCGTACGGCTCGTAGAGTATCCGCCGCGAGCTTCGTATTCTCACCTAGCTCCCCCCAGGACCTGTTGCCGCCCTCTTTGTTACAGTCTCCCTTCCTGACAGCTTTGTGATAAGGGAAGAGCCAGACTATGGGACAGGTGAGCTCGCGGCCTTTCCCCCACTTGCAGTTCTCGCCCTTTCTGTACCCCTCCTGCTGTTCTCTGGCCCGGTTCTGCCCGAGGCCCGTGCATACTGGGGCTTCCTCATTGATGAGATAACTCATTACTGGGCAGAACAGAAGGAATTCACAGTAATGTGTTGGGAAAACAGAATGACATTCCTTTTTTTTTTTTTTTTTTTTTTTAAATAGGAGCTTTATAATCTACAGTATTTTTAAATATAGGGGCAGAAAAAAAGCAGGTTATAAGGAGGCAGATGTTTTTGATGAGGAGTTCTTTCTGAACACTTCCTGACCTCCCACTGGCGATTCTCCTCACTTCCAAAACACTGCTGGCAACCTCCGCGTATTATCCATCCTCGCTTTATGTAGTATATCATGGTCGTGTGTTTGTCAGTCTCCCCTTGCTAGGGTGTGGTCTAGCAGGAACCATGTCATACGCTTATCTGAATGCACCTCATTGAGCACAAGTTCTGGCACAGAGCAGTATATGTTCTAAGTGGTTGCTGAGTAAGTTTATGAATTGTCAACAGCTCTGTCACTTGTCTCATTGTATGTGGAGTCATTGTGTCTGGTCCTCTTGAGACTGATGAACCACTTTTTCAAATAAATTTCCCTTTGCTGAGGAAGCATTTCCTATTCTAGCTAGATATTTAATCACCTCTTCCTCCGCCTCTTGAAACTTGTTTGTTAGTAGTTGTTCTCTAACCAAGATTAGAAGCAAAGTTCCCTGGAAAGAGTACATCAAACTGTTCTCAGCTAAAATCAAACTACTTCCCCAGTGTACTTCCTTTTTAGTTGAAGCTGAGTGTCTCTAAAACTTCATCCCTCCTATGGGACTCTAATTTAACTCATTTCATCCATGTTAGTCCCTTTCTACCAAATAGTAAAGGATGGTAGGTTGAAGAATTGTGACCTGTGTGTGTGTGTGTGTGTGTGTGTGTGTGTGTGTGCGCGCGCGCACATTTCTAAGACATTCATGGAGTGAATGTCTCCATTCCAAGACATTTCCAAGACATTCAGTGAGCTATCTCCCCAGAATTGTGATTTGTCCGTGAATAATTTTTAGTTTGATTCTCCCTCCATTCTTTTGTAATCAGCATTCTTATTTATAGGTACAGTTGTTGTCATCTGGCAGGTAGATGGTGATAACATTGACACAGTTTGATTGTCATGGTACTCATGAACATGATTAATAAGTCAAAGATCATGGATTAGGTATTTACTTAAAAATAATTATATGTAATATATAATGATTCATTAGCTTTACCATAAAGGACTTGTGGCTTTCCAAAACCTATATCTCTCAAAATTAGTGTTTTAGAATGATTTTAGAATATTTGACAAGGGATACCTAGCCAAATGTTTATTTGTAATTTTTACAATACTGATGATAAACTATAAACAAGTTATATCAAGTTTCTATTTTGGTTACAGAATTTTGAGGATGTCCGGTGTAAATGTATCTGTCCTCCTTATAAGGAGAATCCTGGGCATATTTATAATAAGAACATATCTCAAAAAGATTGGTAAGTATTCTGGATCACTGAATTACCTGTCAGATTTTTCTCTAGAGTTGTCACTGTTAGCCCAGAGTGTTACCCAGTATGTCACTTTCTTTATAAGTATTTATTTTTAACCAAAATGTCATCATATTTCTATTTGGAAAAAGTCAGAATAAGGCCCTGAGCACATGATATAAACCTAAAGGAACTGTAGCCCAAACGCTGAGCGAGCCCTCAGTAGGAAAGATTTCACGAGGGCTTGGAATTGAGTCTGTCACCTAAGCCACCCACAGCTACCTTCATGTGCCCCCTTACGTTTTGGTGAGGGACCTTTCTCCCTCTTGCTTTTGGTGAGAGGTAAACAAGCCTCCTTTATTTGGGTTATAATTTTTGTAACTTGGAGGTTTTGATGATGTATTGCTAAGTATGGCCGGCTATGTTTAAAAGTGTCAGATGGCTTAGGAATGAATGGGTATGAGCTATCTATGTTATACTTACCCACTGGCATGTGTACCTATATTATGAGTGTGCTGAGATACCGTGGGAAATCTTGGGCAGTCTGGCAGGGCTAGAATGACTGGGATCCAGACTGTGAACCAGCCACCAGCAGCTTTCTTTATCCCTGAAGACCTGAGAAATACTAGATTGTTCTATATGTGCCATGAAACAAAGGAAGCAGTTGTGGTATGGCAGATTGGATGTGCTCCTTGCCATGGAAGTGTGATGTTTTATGACTTGTAATCACAGTGGAAGATGGGTGGGATAGGAATCAAAGGAATACAGCTCTAAATGCTAGGTACTTTCATTTACCTGGTTTCAAAGCTCAGTAACCATCAGAGAGTTTGAAAACAAGATTAAATTCATTCAACCACAGTATTCCAAACTGACTTTGAAAAAGGAAAGGCAATATTTAAACATGTTTAATTTCTCTAGTATGCTGTTATAGCTTAGATCTAAATCTCTCCCCAGAGCCTCATGTGCTCAGAGGCAAGGCTTCTGGAAGGTGATTTGATTAGAGGGGTGCTATAGCTTGCTTGCTGTTAGGAGGGAGCCTGGTTAGAGGAGGATCGCTGGGGACATGACCTGGAAGGACTTACCTCCCCCTCTGGCTTCTCTCTGCTCTCTCTGCTTCCTGGCCTCTATGACATGACCGGCTTTCCTCTTCCCAGGCCCGTCTGCAGTCCCGTGTCAGTGTTTAACCTGCCGCGCATGCACAGCAGCTTAGCAATTGTGAGCCAAAATAAGCCTCTCCTTCTTTAAGTTGCAGATTTGGGTGTTTTGTCCCAGCAACAAGGAGAATTACTAAGACGTATGCATGTACGTTCAGTCTATTTGGTGTGTTCTTGAGAACTATAAAAGCTTTCCTGTTACAAAGTGATTTAGCTATATTCTTACAGGTTTTACATCAGCAGGTTCCTTTATATAATACAAGCAAACACAAATAAATTTTGAAGTTACTTCTATAAAAGTTCCAAAGATATTGAACACTTATATTTCATTCTATTGTCAGTAAAATAATGTGATGTGTATTGTTTGAGAGGCAAATAAAGACGTTAGTCAAGTATTTCATACTAATCTTTTCACCAACTTTTTGTTATTCCAGGTTCAGACAGAACCATATGTTGTTTATTCATGGTTATTAGTCAAAATAGGGAGCTTTGAAAATAAACAGTTGAAAACAAGCCCTGTTTGGGATTTTTCTTCTTTGCCTCCCCCTTTCTCTTGCTTTTTTCCCAAAGCTTAGACTTTACTGGGATAGGTTCCCAATTGGCTCTGAAAATATTTAACAGGCTTTAGAAAGGCAGGCAAGTTATGATTAACCAGGATGTATGGCTTCCTGAGTCCTCCAATATCTGTAAGCCCTAAGTAAATCTTTACCTTATGTTTTCTGAGCCTCTTATCTTGTCCACTTGTTAGCTTTAATTCTTCATTGACTTATACTGGCTGATTTGAAACTTAAGAAAAATTAAAGTAGTACTCTTTGTGCTTGGGGTGTGGCTCAAAGCTTGTAATGTCTCCTTTTTGGCACTAGGGGGAGGTATTGCCTAGTTCCTAAAGTCCTTTACACTGAATCTAGATCTAGCTGCTTATAGTGATGGCTCAGTTAGAACTTACCTTCCTGTTTCTTCTGGAGCCATGCACAGCTTTTGCATTGTACTCAACACTTTTGTTACTAAAATATATTTGTAGTTAGGCATGGTGGCACACACCAATAATCCCATCGCTCTGGGTAGCTGAGGCAGGATTGCAAATTCAAACCCAGCCCGGGCAACTTAGCCACTTAGCAAGATGTTGTCCAAAAAACAAACAAACAAACAAAGGATACTGTAAAATATGTTTGTACTTCAAAAGAAATACTCAAAACTTATTAAGCACTTAGATTCCCAAGTGATTCTTAGGTATTGTTGCTGAGGCTTGTGAATCTGGAATAAGAAATGAATAGGAAGTAAGTCTTTTTTTCTTTGGGTTTGAAGAGATAAGAGGGGCTGATCTAGGAGGCAGAAGACCCAGATCCTGATCCTTTCCCAGCTGTTACCTTGTACAGGTGACTCTTGTGAGTGTTGGGCTGCATGCCCTCTGATTCTGAGACAGAGAGCCCCTTTTGGGGGTGTTCAGCTTCCTCTGCCCACTTCACATGTGCATTAGCGGGATACATGCCTGGTCTATATGTCTGGGACAGATACCACACTTTTATAGTATGAGTTGTGGGATCTCACTCTTATTTGAAATTCTATCAGTGGAAATTTGATTTTTCATTACTATCTTTATTAAAATTAAATTATATATTAAGGATAAATGGATTTTTACCATATCATTTTGAGTTTTTTGTTTGTATTGCTCAGGATTAAACCCCAGGCACAGCTTGTGCCTGCTAAGCAAGCACTCTACCACAAATCTCGATCCCCAGACCTGGGGTTTTCTTTCTAATGACACAAAGCAGAGGCAGCAGAACACCCCAGCCCTGCAAAAAAGTATATTTGAATAGGGCAGAGAGACTCAGCCTAAGAGCAGTGGTGGGTAACCTATAACACATGTGTTATTTTTCTTTTAAGACAAAACGTGGTAATGTATGAGTTGTTTTTTCTAAACTAAAACCTCAGTATTCAGGTTTAACTGCAGTGTTGGCACTTTGCAATAAATAAGTGGGTTTTGGGTTGCTGTTTGGCTACTCATCCCTAAAAGGTTTGTCTTCGGTGGCCTAGAGTGTTGGTAACTGCAAGAAAAATGGGTAAGAAAAGAGGATGTTGTAGAGTTCTTCAGGCAGCTAGAATTGCCTAAGAAAAAGATGCCAAAGGGGAAGAGAATTCCCTAGCAGCTGGCAAGAGGAGGCGAAAGCTTTGCCTACTTTTGCTGGATCATCAGAGTAGTAGGTTTTGTTTTGTTTTGTTTTCCACTAGGGATTGAATTCAGGGCTTTCACACCAAGCTGAATCCCCCGCCCTTTTTTAATTTTTTATTTGGGCTCAAACTTGATCTTCCTGCCTTAGCCTCATAGAGTGCTGGGGTTATCAGCATGTGCTACCGCATTCAGCTCCATAGTGGTAGACTCTTAATAACTGAGAAGTAATTATTGTTTGGAATTGACAGATTTCTGGGAAAAGATATTTTTAATAGCATTGCTTTTTATAAACCTTTCTTTCTTATTTTTATGTACTTATTTCCAGTAACCAGTTTTGTTTAAAAATATTTTTGTGGTCCTATTTCTACTTCTTGCTTTTCAATAGACCTTTAAGTTTAAAAGTTTTAAGTTAAAGTTTAAAATTAAGTTTTAATAACTTAATTATTTCTTACTATGCTTTTGAGTGTTCATATTTTAGAGTCTGAGGATGTACCCCTCTTAAAAGTGATAAGCCATTCATATGCCACGTTGTGGCATTAAGAATAACATTAAATCACAGAGACAATCTCACATTTAAGTAATGCCCATGTCATTTTACACCCTCAATTTGTTAAGTAGGTTTTTTTTTTTTTTTTTTTTTTTTAATCCTAATTGCCATTTTCCTGGTGTATTTGTAACTGGAGCAATTGCAACTTGAACTGATTGTGGTGGCACACCTGTAATCCTAGCATTCTGGGAGACTGAGACAGAAGGATTGCAAGTTTGAGTCCAGCCTGAACAACACAGCAAGACCTTGTCTCAAAATAAAATTTTTTTAAAAGGTCTAGGGATGTACCTCTGTGTGAAGAAGCTGGATTCAGTCCCCGGGGGGGAACGACAACTTAAAAATAAACAACTAACACTCTATGTCTTTATGCCTTCTCACACTGTTAACTCTTACAAAATGCTGATCTATAGAGAGAAAATTAATCCTTTTTGCTTTATTATTTGTTCATTATATTTTTCATTGGGTAAGTTCATAATTCTAAATTTCAGGGAAGTTTTAACCAATACAAGTAAACAATCAAGCCAGGCTTACACAGCATTTTTTTTTCTGTTTTTTTCAGCGATTGTCTTCATGTTGTGGATCCCATGCCAGTGCTTGGACCTGACGTAGAAGCATACTGTCTCCGCTGTGAATGCAAATATGAGGAAAGGAGCTCTGTCACAATCAAGGTGAAACTTACACAAGATTATGTTGTGTTATAGTGGTTTATGTGGTAGGTGTATATATTACAGGATTATATTAATTAGGTCTTCAGAAAAGGCAGAATATTTTCAACCCCTTGCCCAAAAAGAGTAGCGGCCTGCTCTCTGCTTGCACAAGAGGCTGTGTGGATTATTTAGGACATGGTAGAGAGACAATGTGAAATGGCACTAAAATGTGCTATGTTTCCTTGGCATGTTCCAGACAGATACCCCAGGTTGTCTGTGAGCCATAAATGCCAGTGCTTAGTGAGACAGCAGCGTGATTAAGCCCTCCTCTTCCTACCTCCCAACCCTTTGAATCGAATATGGCTAACATAGATTTAGAGTAACTATAACCTATACGTACAGTAACTTTTCGAAACATTACTTCTGGATTTTAAGATTTCCCTTCAACTCCTATAGGAAATGGAATGTAGATAATTCTCTTCACCACTTGGGTGAGTTCAGTTACTTTATTATGGTAGCTAATGGTTTCCTCCCAAAACGTTTTAAATGGCACTTGCCACTCCTTTCCTCAGAAAAAGGCCTTGTGGGAATGCGTTTCTGCTGTGACTGGTGCTGCAGCAGGGCTGCTGCACCAGTGGGTGCCATCTTATAGAGAAATCTTCACTGCATTTTGCTTTTTTAACAGATTTTTTATCTATAATTTTATGTACCTAAAATTAACTCATTGTGAGTGTCCAATTTTGTAAATTTTAGTAGATTTAAAACAACTTTTTAAAATCCAATTTTGAAATACTGCATACCCATCAACCTAAAAAGACTCCTCATGCCCTTTTTAGTTAACCGCTACTCCATCCTCAGTGCCAGATAGTCACTGTGTTACTTTCTGTCTGTGCGTAGCTGAACATTTCATATAAATGGAGTCATATAATGTGTAGTCTTCTGTGACAGGCTTCTTTCACTTAGCATAATGTTTTTGATTATTGTCTGAGTTGTAGCATATATCAGTACTTCATTCAATGTTATTGTTCAATAGTGTTCCATTGTATGAATATCCATTCATTAGTTAATAAATATTTGGATTATTTCCAGATTTATACTGTTAATACTGTCATGAATAAAATATCTATATGTGTGTATTTGTTAGGATATATGTTTCCCTTTCTCTTAGATAAACTTCTTAGAATAGAAGGTTTAATTTTTTTAAGAAACAGCCAACCAGATTTTTTCCCAAAAGAGTCATACTTTTCTTTCCAGTACTGGGACTGAGGGCCTTTGTGCACTGAGCTATATCCTTTTTTTTTTTTTTTTTTTTTTTTTTGAGACAGGATGTCATTAAATTGATAAATTGCCCAGGCTAGGCTTGAAGTTGTAATCTTCCTGCCTCAGCCTCCCAGAGTGCTGGGATTACAGGCATCCCTGGCTGGGATTATACCATTTACCAGTGATGTATGAGGTTCCTGTTTCCACATGCCTTGCCAATAATGCCATTGTCTATTTTATGGTATCTATTCTAGTGGGTATGTCTTTTTGCAACTTTGGTTAGCACCCAAATTAGTATCCCAAGAAAATCATGGCCCTAAAAAGTTTTTGTAGACCTAAACTGATCTATAAGAGAATACAGTATTCTGTTGAAATTCACCTGAGTTACGTTTCCTCTACAGAGTTCCTTTAAGTTGTTCTGCTAGCAGTACTCCTGAATCTAGGTAGGACACTGTATTTGGCTGAAAAAAGAAAACTGCTATCTAGCTATGAAGATAAATGCTTAGCAGTAGGTAAAAATGGAATGTCAGAGACTCAAGAAAGATCTCAAAGACAAAATGCTTTCTTTCTTCTTCTTCCTCAAATATTACTTTGGTGAAGGGTTGAGTTTGTTTCTTATACTGGAATCTGGTTGGTATAGAAATCCTGAGGCTAAGCAGATGTATATCAGTCTTTGTTGTGGCTTTAACATTGTATATAATTCTAAATTCTTGTACTGAACAGAGATGTAACTTACTTTCAATTTCCCATAGGTTACCATTATAATTTACCTCTCTATTTTGGGTCTCCTGCTTCTGTACATGGTGTATCTTACCTTGGTTGAGCCCATACTGAAGAGGCGCCTCTTTGGACACTCACAGTTGATACAGAGTGATGACGATGTAGGGGTAAGTTCCCGGCCTACCTTCCCACTTGTGGCCAGTCATCAGGCGTAAAATACAAGTGGAAAATAGTTGCATATAGATGTTTGAGTTATTACAGTTAATCGTCACCCTGAAAAGTGAAAGGGTTCTAATTTCAGTAGATTTTGTGAGGAAATTATTCTGTAGTACCACAAATGTGGCAGTTCAAACTGACGGTCCTTGAAGAGGGTGCTTTTATAAGGCCTTACCCTGGTAAGTGGAGAAAGCATCTGAGGTAGGTTTCTCCCCGCGCTCTCCCTGAAACACTTGCCTGTCAAGATCACCACATCTTTAGAAGGCGAAGAGGCCTTATGGAAGGGAAGCGTGGAGAACATGACATTCTTTTCTTACTGTTACCAGTAAGTACAACTTGATTGCTTACTGATGCTTCATATTTCCTCCTTTAAAAGGACTATAATTTTTTTCTTTAACTTTAGAAGAAAATAAAATCATCGCTTCAGATCTTTAAAACACATATACCACCACAATTAATATACATGTTGTTTCATAGTCTCCATTTTATTTTAATGTTACTTTATTAAAAAATGTCTAGAGCTGTGTGAGTCCCTGGGTCTGATCTCAGCACAACAAACAAAAATTCTAGAAATTGACATAGCACAAAAGCTTGTTATTCAGTATAGCTTAGAGAATTATATTGTTCATTTTATCACTATCACATTTGGAATTATTTCTAAATTGTCCAGTATTTCATTGTATTATGTAATTTAAAAATTACTTTTTCTGTTGTATTTTATTGGACTGTGTTCCTGAAAGAGGATGCAATTCAATATGGTTGCAGCGGCCAAATCCAGTGTAAACTTGCCAGCCAGAAGTCACTTTACTATGGGATGCCTTTGTGAATGTTGGTAAAAGCTGGGAAAGGAGATCCTGACTGGATAGCTTGAGTTACAACTGTAAATAGAGTTGCCCTTTGATCAACATACTATTGTCCCATGAATATCAATTATGAATTCTCAACTTCTTTGGGCAAGATTTAAAATTTCTTGTCAAGAGCTTTCATAGAAACACCTTCGTTTGCATCTTTTCCCCTGCTTCTTATATTAATTCAATCAACACATACTGAGTTCTTTTCTGGATAAAGTACTGTGCTGGGTACTAGGAAGGAAAAAAATGAATGAAGCAGAAACAGACTAACAGTGTGTACTTCCTCACTTTTATCTTTAGTCATATAAGAAATACACTTATTTTAAAAGGAGGGGTAGAAGAAGAGATTGGAGAACTAATGGAGTTTTAAAAAACCGTACATAGTGGGGCTGGAGCCAGAGCAAACTAGAAGGACAGGAGGTTGTATATCAGAAGCATTAGAGTCTCAAATAGTGTTTTCAGGTTAATTTAACATGTTCACAGTTTCTCAGCTCTGACTTTGTAGATATTTAAGGATGGATAAATAATTCTTGTGGGGAACTGTCATGTTTATTGTAAGATACTCAGCAACATCCTCAACTTCTGTCTGCAAGATGCCAAATGATTTATGACATGTGATTATCATCCTAGTCATGACAATAAAAATTATCCATGTGGCATACTCCTTTAGTGTCAGCACTGAGAAAGGCTGAGTCAGAAGGACCTCAAGTTTGAATCCTGCCTGGACAACTTAGCAGCTTAGCAAGACCCTGTCTCAAAAAGGGCTGAGGATGCAGCTAAGTGGTAGAGCAGCCCTGGGTTTAATCCCTAGGAACTACTGACATATGGAAATATTGGTGTGAAAGGCCCGATAAACCATTTTCATTTTAGGAATATAGGTTGAAACTCTGACTTCATCTACATCCATTAGCATTAAATATCTGTTCCTGGTTTCACAAATCAGCAATATTAAAATAATGCATTCAGAGCATACAGGAAATGAATATACAATATAAACACAAAAACATGTTCGGCGGACATTGATTGGTGGGGTCATTTGTTCAGAAACCATTGTGCCCACAAGTGATTGATTCTGCCTTCACATTGAGCATTTGAGGACACTGCCACTGAGAGGCTTGGCTGACTTGCATAACTGTTAAGCTGATTCTGGGCAGAGTGAGGTTTTCTGACCAAAGCTGTGGCATTATGGCAATAATTCCACACAAAAAGAAGTTAAATTTAAATTCCTACATTTATTGCTTATTTAAGATAAGAGCTCTTGCCAGACATAATAGTACATGCTTATAATCCTTGCCCTCTGGGAGACTAAGGCAGGAAAACTGCAAATTTGAGCCCAGCCTGGGCAATGTAGGCACTTAGTGAAATTCTGCCTCAAAATAAAATATATAAATGTATTTATTGAGATGTGTCTCCATTCAAAGGCTGTAGGTTTAATCCCTAGTACTACCCATAAAAAACAAACTTCTTCCCTTTTTGTGTTCATTTTAAATTTTCAAATTTTTTTTCATTTTTGTTCCGTATAGCACATTTTAAAGCAAATAAAAGTACAAATAGTTAAAAAGCGTACTGCAAGTAGTCATAATATTTACTGTATCATATATCCATGACACATCATTCCTGTTATCAAAGCATCACTTTAAGACATGTTTTGTATTCATTGAAATTTCATCAGGTGTAAAAGGAACAAACATAAAAAGGGTAAATCTCTATTTGCATTCTTTCAGCATCCCTGCCCATGTTCAGCTAGTTCAATCTTGTTCTAATAGGTGGAGGACAGACTTAAAGGATTAACTGGTTTATTTAGTCTTCTAAATTTGTTCCTTAAGAAGATTTTTTTCTCCCCCTGCCTTGAAAAGTCGATAACAGGACTATGAAACTGAGGAGTGCTCTGCTGACAAAGTACATCCTTCTTCCCAGTCTTGTTTATGTCAAAATAAATCAATGGTAATAATATTTTATGTACAGATTCACTGAAGCACTACATTCCTATAGTTTCATTTTAATCTACCTGAACAAAACCTGTGTGTTGAGAAGATATGACACTAAGTCAAGGTTAGGCAAACTAAGTTTTAGTGTTTGTGCTGATGTGTTAAATGACTTTGGGTCAGTTTATCGCCTTATGAGTAATCAAGTGATCATAACCTTAGTCTTGCTTTGCTTTGCTTTGCCTTACCTTTTCCTTTCCTTTCTTTCTTGTCTTCCTCTTCTTCCTCCTCTTCCTCCTCCTTTCTCTGTCTCTCAGTCTGACATTTTGGACTTCATGGGATTGTCTTTATTAATTTCATTTTTAGTTTAGAAATAAATAAATGAGATTTACACAAGCCATTACCATTAAGTAAAAAGTTGAAGACATTTTGGTAAAGAAGGCAAGAAAAGATTGTTTTTATAGAAAACTCTTTTAAAGTATAATCATGGTATAAATGTCTTGTTATAACAATAAGACCAGATATTATAACACCATGTACATTTAGAGTTATGTGGTTATGCATAGCTGGCATGTATGAGATATGGTAAAGATACATAGTGAATGTTTGTTTTAAATTTATTACAATAAAAAACACATTGCCATTAACCCTCAATAAATATTATCCCTTGCTTAAACACACTATCCCATCATTCCTGCCACTTTTTGAAGCAGTTCTGGGAGTCCTTTTTTGTGACTGTCTTTGAGGTGTGATCAAAAATGCAGTGAGTATGGCCACTAAGTGCCACCCAATGGAGAGAGAGGTTTGTAAAAGACATTACAGTGTGTCCTCATCCACCTTATTTCCTGGGCCTAGCACAATGCGACTTCTTGCTCTTCTTCAAAGTAAAAATGACCATGAAAGAAAACATCTGAATTGACTCAGGACATTGACACAGCCATAAGAGGGCAACTGAGGATATTCATGAAAGAGAAGTTCCAGACCTGCTTGAGAAAGTGGCAAGAATGATGGGAGGAGTGTGTTCAAAGTGAGGGGGTGGTATTTGGAGGGGGATTAATGGTAATGTGTTTCTTCAGTAATAAATTTTTCAGTGATACCTCTATATGCTGACTCCTGTCCTGGATATATGACAGCTTTTCCAGACATGCACTGCAGAACAAAGTTGTTTCTTTTCTAGAGACAAAACTTGGCGTAAGAGGCCCAACTTATGACTTGCATCTTGTGTTGGAACATTTAGAAACTTGACTGGCATGGGGTTCAGGAAAAAGAGATCAAGGAAAAGGCAAAACAAAAATAATAAATTACTATTGAATGCTTTTTGTCATGAAGGCAGCTGTGTTTATATCTCATTCCTAGATAGATTAGCGTGGTGGTTTCCTGTGTAATGACTACAAACACCCACTTGTATTAGTTTACTTTGACCAGGAGAGGTAAATTCTCTACGGTTTCCAGCGAAATCCTTCAGTAGCTCCTTTCTTTATGCAGCAGCTAGCATAGGAGGCCTTGAGTGCTCAGCAATGAAAGGTGCAAGTCATTGTTGAATACAAATGTAAAGTAAACCATTCCTCTCTGTCCTTGGTCATACGGGGTGATTTTAGCACTTGAGCTCTATGTGTCTCTTTTCATTACAGTTTACAGAAGGAGTAACAAGAAAAGGTTTGGAAAGTAGGCCCTTTAGCGTATGTTCTGAAAGGACAAGGAGAGGTTAGAACCAACCATATGACTGTGTCAGCTCCTCCGCCATGCTGAGTGTGGGTCCAAGCAAGTAACAGTTCTAATATAACAGGAGCCAGGAAATTAAAAGTCATTTTCTCTGCAGTAGGTTAGCTGTGTAGTATTAATTAAATCAAGGAAATGCCCTACTTTCTGTATCTAACATGGCCAGAATAGCCTGCAAATACACCTTCCTTTCCCAACTAGGCGGGGAAGACTTCTCTTTAACACAAATGATCAGTCTTTGTCTTGGTCTCTGTATCTTAAAGAAAACATTTTTGAAGATGGTGACCCATTTCCAAATACCCCTCATGGCTTATGCCTCTTGAATCACCTATTTCTATAGATGAGTGCATCCGTCTTCCGATAACTGATTACCTAGACGTGCTTAGTCACACAGATGCTCTGTTGTTTGAGAAGCCCACCTCCCCCTGTCTCTGTGACTGGCTAACTACTGTTGTGTGTTTTACACTGCCATTGTCATCACTGGCATTTTCCATTTGGCCTTTCAGGATCACCAGCCCTTCGCAAACGCCCATGATGTCCTGGCCCGCTCCCGCAGTCGACCCAATGTTCTGAACAAGGTAGAATATGCCCAGCAGCGCTGGAAGCTTCAAGTTCAAGAGCAGCGAAAATCTGTCTTTGACCGACATGTTGTCCTCAGCTAATGGGAATCCAATTTAAGATGACTAGAAAGAAACGAGGCAGACGACTGGAAAGAACTGACTGAGTTTTCTGGGCTTTGTTTTAGTACCCTGTTGATTTTACCAACTCTTACTGGAAGACTCAAAATTGGAAGCAAAAAACATGCTTAGTATTTTTTCTTGTTAATGTATTGGTAGAGACATTTTTAAAAGCACACAGGTCAGCCGGTAAGCCTTCTCCTACTTGTGACTTTTACTAATAAAATTAAACCTGCCTGTAAATTATCTTGAAGTACTTTACCTGGAACAAGCACTCCCTTTTTCACCACACAGTTTTAACCTGATTTTCAAGATAATTTTCAGGTGGTTTGTTTGTAGGAGAAGGGAAGGATACAGGGGAAGAGCTTGACACAACTTTTCTCATGTCACTTTACTAAACCAACTTTTGTAAATAGACCTTACCTGCTATTTTCCAATTTCATTAGTATTTTCCATGTAGTCAGCCTCATCAAAGTGCTGACTTTACCAGATGACTTCTGCACTGACTGTATTATCTAGACATCTGGTTGGCCTGTGGCTGGATTTCATGATAAACTGGATCGGAAATGCCTGGTGGCTCTTCACCAAATGCAGACTCACTTCCTGTACTGTGATGTCCGATACAGTGCACCCTAGAACAGACTGGCTATTTGCTGGTTCACTGTAAGGACTAGACATAGTCTTGGGGACTGTGGGCTCCCTCATCTTCTAGTATCTTTAAGGACAAATCCTAAGGACTTGGACACTTGCAATAAGGAAATTTTCTTTTAAACCCAAGCCTCCCTGGATTAATGACATACATGTGTTGGTCAGCATTTCCAGTCATGCTGAGGCAGCTGTTTGAGCTTGAATGTGTGCAGCTTTGAACTAGTACTGGGGTTCTGGATGCCGCTATCTGAAAAGTATAACAGTTATTGGGTAACTGGCACTTTTCTTCTATGTCCTCTTTGGAATGTAATAATAAAAATAATTTTTGAAACACCTATCAGTCCATGTCCTCTAGCTTTTTCACTTCTTTTGCTATATGATGAGCTTGAAGAAACAATGATATTTTATACCCTGTTGTGAGACTGTTATATTGGTGTAAACCAATATAATCATAAAATGTTGACACTAAATTGTCTTTGTATGTGCAAAGAATGTATGGATTCTTAAGTGGATCTCTGAAAAGTAACAAATATTCCAATAATAAGTTCTAATAGATATTCTGTTCTAAGAAGTTTTTGGCAAAAAAATTAGTAGAATTAAATTCATAAGGATGTGGTTTTAAGGTGGGCGTGGTGGCGCATACCTATAATCCCAGCACATACATATAATCCCAGCATTCGGGAAGCTGAGGCAGGACGATTGTTGTGAGTTCGAGACCAGCCTGGGCTACAAGGTGAGCTAAGGTCAACCTGAACGCCATAGGGAGACCCTGTCTCAAAAAGAAAAAAAAAAAAGTGGTTTTAGGATCTATTAATTTTTTCTTTTTTTTTTTTTGGTACTGGGAACTGAACTCATGACCTTGTGCTTGCCAGGTAGGCACTGTGCCACTGAGCTATATACTGGCTCCTAGTTTTGTTTTTGTTTAGTAAAAATAACTGGTTTTTTAGCATCCCAAAAATCTAACCTAAAATTGATTTTACTCTTGGTATAAAAATTTAGCCTGGGCATGGTGACACATACATATAATCCCAGCTACTAGGGAGGCAGAGGCAGAAAGTTCACAAATTCAAGGACAGCCGGGCAACTTAGTGAGATCCTGTCTCTACAAAATTTTAAAAAGCTCAGTGTAGCTTAGCATTCCTGAGGTCAAGCCTCAGTACCATCAAGAATAAAACAATTTAGGTTCAATTTTGATCAAGTTGGGTTTATCCCAGGCATACAAGGCTACTTCAACATTAGAAAATAATATAATTATCACATCTAAAGAAGCAAATCAGATGATCATCACTCAACATGCAGTCATGACAAAAACTAGAACTCCCAGCAAACTAGGAAAAGGGGAACTTCCCCAACCAGAGAAATAATGTGTACTACAAAGATCTACAGCTAACATACTTAACAGTGAGAAACTAACAACTTTCTCACTGAGATTGGGAATAAGGCAAATATGTCCTCTTTCACCACTTTTCAACATTACATGGAAGTCCTAGCAAATGCAGTAAGACATTAAAAAATAAAAGATACAGATTGGGAGGGAAGAAATAAAACTGCCTCTTTTTCCCAGGTGATATGATCATCTATATAGAAAACCCAAAAGAATAACAAAAATAAATGATTATAGCAATAAACTAATATATAGTTAATGGCTTTCCCATATACAAGCAATGAAAAAGTGGAATTTGAAATTAAAAACAATCCCATTTCTACCAGTACTCCAAAGATGAAATTTTAAGTATAAATTTAGCAAAATATTTATAAAATATGAGAAAAATTACAAAACTGATAAAAAGAACTAAATAAATGAGACATCCCATTCACATGGATGGTAAGCCTTGGTATTATCAAAATGTCAGTTCTTCCCAACTTGATTTATAGATTAAATGCAATTCCAATCAAAATCCCAGAAAATTATTTTGTGGGTATTGACAAATTAATTCTAAAGTTTATACAGAAAGGTAGAAGACCCAGAATAGCCAATATAATATTAAAGAACCGCAAAGCCAGAGGACTGACACTACCCAACTTCAAAGTTTACTATGAAGTACAGTAATCAAGACAGTGTGGTAGGGCCAGGAATATAGCTCAGTGGCACAAATACCTTCCTGGCAAGCACAAGGTCCTGAGTTTGAGTTCCAGTACCAAAAAAAAAAAAAAAAAAGTGTGGTACTGACATAAGAATAGACAGCAGTGCAACAGCATGGAGAGTCCAGGAGTACTCTTACATAGATACACTCCCTTTTTTTTCTTTTTGGTTCTGGAATCGAACTCAGGACCTTGCACTTGCCAGGCGGGCGCTGTGCCACTGAGCTAAATCCTTGGCCCTCTCACATAAATACAGTCAGTTGATCTTTAGCAAAGGAGGAAAAGCAATCTAATGGAGAAAAGATAATTGTATCGGTCACTTTCCCGTCACTGGGACAAAATAACACCCTCAACCTAAAGGAGAGGCTTACTTGGCTCCTGGATTCCAATGGATTCAGCCTGAAGTCAGCTGACTTCAAGGCAGAAATGGTAGGATGCCAAGGTGGAGGAGAAGCGTTCAATTCACAACCAGGAGGCGGGGATAAAAGAATGAGAGCAGAAATTGGAGGTAAGAATACACCCAGGTAAAGCCCCACCTGGGTATAAAGTCTTCCCACCAGGCCTACCCCCTCAGAAGCACATTCAGCTGTGACCTCCTCAATGGATTAATCCGCTGATGAAAACAGCACTCCCACGGTCCAATCCAAAAGCCCCACCTCTGAACACACGAGACTTAGGGAGGACATTTTAGATCTAAACCATAGTGACAGTCTTCTGTTTTCTTGTTTTGTGGTGCTGAGGATCAATCCAGAGCCCTGTGCCTACTAGGCAAACACTGTCACTGAACGACATCGCCAGCTCAAAATCACCTCTAACAAATGGTACTGGAACAAACAACCGAATGGTCACATGCAAAAAAATAAATATCTAGACGACAGACCTTAGCGCCTTCACAAAAAAAAAAAACACGAAGTAGATCATAAGCCTACATATAAAATGAAAGTAGGTGGTATTGAGCTTTTAGTTATAACACCAAAGACATGGTCCTTGAAAGAAAGAATTATCAAGCTGGACAAGTTAAAACTTCTCCAAAAGATGTTGTCAAGGGAATTAGAAGATAAGCCATAGACCAGGAAAAAAATATTTGCAAAAGACTTATCTGATAGAGGACATTTAGTACTTGGCAATAGGAAAACAGAAAAATCCAATTTAAAACTGGGCAAAAGTCCCAAACAGGCATCCCACCAGAGAAAATACACAGCAAATAAGCATATTTAAAAGATGATTCTTTCATATCATATGTCACCAGGGCAGTGCAAATTAAAACAATGAGATGAGACTGCAGCCCTATTTAAATGGCCAAAATCTAGAACACTGACAATTCCAAATGGTCAGAGACAGAGCAACAGGAGCTCTCATTTAGTGACAGTGGGAATGCAAAATGATACAACTCCGGAAAAGAGTTCACCAGTTTCTTACAAAACCAGACAGACTGTAGGATTTAGCAATTGTGCTCACTGGTAATTACCCAAATGAGCTCAAATCTTATGGCCACACAAAAACCTGCACATGGATATTGATAGAAGCTTCAGTCATAATTGCCCAAATGTGGAAGCAATCAAAAATCTTTTAGTAGGCTGATAAATTGTGGTGCATCCGCATAATGGAACATTATTCAGTGCTACAAACAAGTGAGCTTTCAAGCCATGAGAAGACATGGAAGAATTTTAAATGCTTATTACTAAGTGAAAGAGCCCTATCTGAAAAGGCTACATACTAAATGCTTCTAATTATATGACATTCTGGAAAAGGCAAAGCTATACAGACAGTAAAATGGTGGTTGTAGGGGTTACAGGGAGGGAGACATGAATAGGCAGTGCAGGGAATGTTTAGAGCATTAAAACTGCTCTATATGATACACTATCGATAGATACAGGCCATTATACATTTGTCCAGACTCATAGAATATAAACATAAAACACCAAGAATGAAGCCTAACAGAAACTATGGACTTTGGGTAATAATGTGGTGTCATCAATTATAGGTTCATCAGTTATAACAAAGTTACCCTACGGGGCAGGAAGTTGATAGTGGAGAGGCTTGTGCAGTGATTCTTTCAGCTCAATTTTGCTATGAACCTAAAAGTACCCTAAAAAATAAAGTCTACTTAAGAGGAAAAAAATAAAATGGATATTTTAAAAAGATATAAATTCATATTGACCTTCCTCATTTTGGCCTAAATAGCTATTTCTAAAAGAATATTAACCAATATTTGCACATTATGAGACTATCATGTAAAGATATTTTCCATAAATAACTCTGATATAAAATCATTTAACCCAGATGAATGGGGGACATCCTTTAAACAAATATATGTGTTATAAATGTCCATTTGTGTAAGCAAATCTCTCTCTTTAGTATTATATGTTGTCATATCTACATATTAGCTAGGAAAAAAAAACAGCCAAACCAGAACCAAGCAGTTCTGTTTAACTGTAAGCTGCTTTGCATATTGTCACTAAATGACCACCTATAAATCAGATTCAATCTCACTCAGCCTGAAATACAGCATCTTGAGCAACAAAACTCAGGTAAGAGACACTTCTCAAAAATGGTCATTGGGGGAGGAATAAAAACATGATTTTTAAGAAAATCCTTAGGCACAGTGATGTGGTACATTTTGTCAATAATCTGTATTCTATTATTTTAAATATCAATTATTACACTACAATGAAAGATTTTCCTGGTGATTAAATCACCCGGGGGAGTAGAAAGTATTTTGGTTTGGAAGTTCAGGACCCCAGGTGCTGGCCCTTGCTCTGCTACTAGCTTAGCAATCTTGACTTGTGGTGGATGGGAGAAGCAGGTTTCTCAGTTTCCTCCCACCTCTAACATTCCATAATTCAATTATGTGTGCAGGAGAAGCTTTTTGGTTTTGACATCTCACATATATTTTTAATGCATGAAAGTAGAAGCTTTTATGCTCAATAGAGTACCAAGAACCTCTTAGGATTTTATTATTAAGACCTCATTATTTATTTCCCAGAAGAGCTCCGAGATAGAAACCTAAGATCTTCCCAAAGTGAGTGCGTTAGCTGTGCATGTATCTAGAACCACAGAGACCCAGCAATAACAGTGTGTGTTGCTTTCTTTTAAAATGAAATTGTACTCAATTCCTAATACACACACACACACACACACACACACACACACACACTATACTCCTCTGGGCTTCCTATCTTAATTATCTTCATTGCTGCAATATTTTCCACTCTCTTACTCTGTTGTTTTACATTTTTCTTCTTTTGAATAA